TGAGCTGGGAATGCTACAGTGAAATCTCAAACCATATAACCAACCCTACCTAAATTATTTCTGTGAACCACAGAACACCTCCCACTACCATCAGGAGATGGAGTGGGGGTTCTTTAGTCATAACATCTCCCTTTCCGTCCTAGGGTGACAACACTGCTCCTTTATAGATACAGTACAGTGAGTGGTTGTTGTCCTCTTAAGACAGAAAGTGTGCTACGTGCAGTAAACCTATGAAAATAAGGGGGAAAAAGGCCTGAAAAAAGAAAATAAATGCAATCATAACAACCAAGGGTGGCCATACACACTTCAGTAATTGATGGATTTCTTTTTCGACTGATATTTTCAGATAGGAATAAACAATCTGTAGTTGACAACCCATTCAACTGAAATGTCACACATGGGAAAGTGGATTTCGATCATTAGTTAAGATCATAAGTTATAGGTTGCATCTCTGTAATCACATAATTTGATCGAGATACGATGAACAAAGTATGCTGCCCTTTGATGCAAAATGATTGACAATTTTTCACTTGGTCAACTCAGTTTGATCGAAAATTATTGAAATTGAGTGTAAATCAATGGAAGAGAAAATATTGTGGCTATTAAATTGCTTGTGGATTTGATCATTTTGATCAAACCGCACATCAAGAAAAAAAACAGTAGCATGTGTGGCCACCATAAGGACTGTTAAGCTGCAATGTATCACCTTTTTCTTCTTTTGTTGAAGTGCACTTTTTGAAGTATGCTATCTATACATCTTGAGGTATGTAAAATAGCTGCAAATACTAGCTTGTTCTACTTTTCTTTTTACAGAATAATTGTTGAAGAATTTAACGTTCCACAATGTACAGCTGTTCCTGTACCATTCACAGATGTTGATGTCACTGTTAAAGATGCAATGACCAAAGTACATGGTGAATGGAAAGTACGGCACTGGTTGATGTAGGTTTTCTACAATCATGTTCAAACAAGCAGTTAGTGTGTATAGTACTAACAAAATATCCAATTTTGTAAGCAAAATTAATTTCTTCACAGCTTTTCCTGCTGGTACCTTTTGAAAAAGAATTTGTAAACTATACAAACATCTATCATCTATTAGGGATAATTTTGTTATGAGTGAAGGAAGGAGAGAAGGTGTGATTCATAGGCAAATTTGGTCAGAGGCTGCAATGGTGCATGTTTTATCAAAATTTTGGAGGATCAGCCAGTAGTGAAGCCATCAAAGAGCATTGGGCAAGATTCTGCAAAAAAGCAATACAATCAAGCCACCAGTAAAATACACCAGGCAAAATGTGGACCTAGTCAATGCTTAGTTAAACAGAACCAGTCAGCCATTTTAAAATAAAATTCTGCCTAAATGCAGGCACCACAAGATACCAGCAATGATCTCTGTTAATCAGCAAACCCTGCTCTGTGTGCCTTTCTGATACCAGTTTCCCATTGTTACCAGGGACTTAATTTCACAGATTAGCCTCATAAACTGCAATTTCCTTGTCTATGACTGCCCTGCCTAAAGATCACTAACAACCAGGGTGGACAATGATGTCTACTGGATCTCCATACTACTAAATACTATTACATGCTAAGAAGTGGGATGGCTACACAAATAGCATCTTCTTTCATTTTGCCAATTGACAAAAGAATAGTAGCACGGGATTCTCCTTAACATAGTAAGAAACATTTATTGAACAATTAAAATAGTACACATACATGTAGGATTCTTGACATTCAGCATAAGGATTGGATGTGGACACCGCAAAGCTATTAATGTGTATTGGTAGCTTTTGCTTCCCGGGCCGGCTTAGGGAACCCAACTTGACAGCTGTTTTCCAAAGTCGCCAATGCCCAATGTGCTACAGCACTACAAACAGCCTCGTGGCAACCCCTTCATGATACTGGAAGGAGGGGGTGCATCCCTGTACTGCTCCCTGCTTTCAGTATCACATAGGGGTTGGCACGAGGCAGTGGATAGCACTGTAGGACAGTGGGCATTGGCAACTTTTTGACAGCTTTCAAACTGGGTTCCCTATGCCAGCTCAGGAAGCAAAAGCTACCAATGCACTTTACGAGCTTTGCGGTGTCCACATCCAATCCTTATTCAAAATGCCAAGAATCCTACATGTAAGTGTACTATTTTAATTGTTCAATAAATGTTTCTTACTATGCTAATGAGGATTCTGCGCTACTGTTCTTTTGTCGTTAGAGCTTACTGGATCTTTCTGGATCTATATTGGAAGCTGTAGGATCCCTGTTGCATGACTATTGATCTCCATTTGGATCTTGCTGAAATTCCTGACTGACATTTCTGAAAGCTGAAACTTGTAGTGTACTGAACTGGTCTGTGGAACTTCTTTAAATTTTTGCTTTGGTTTTCTTGTAAATAGACTCCTCTTCAACCATATACTGATCCTCGCCTTCACTGTGCTCCCCTGATGCTATATCAAACCACACTGTAATCTGGAGTGACAAGACCAAAACAGAGCTTTATGGTCACATCTATAAGTGCTATGTTTGGAGAGGGATCAACATCGACAAGCATACCATCCCCACTGTGAAGCATGGTGGAGGCTCACTGATGTTTTGGGTGGGTGTGAGCTCTAAATGCATGGGCAATTTTGTGAAAATTGATGGCAAGATGAATGCAGCATGTTATCAGAAAAGCCTGGTTACATTATGCCCGTCAACACCTTGACATGCCTCACTGGGCTTTCATGTGGCATTGGCGCAGTAAAGGCTTCCTTCTGGCATCTCAAACAACCGTAAATGTCTTGAGTGACTTTAAAAGAGACAGATAATTTGTACTGGGCTCCTGAGAGATCCTCCTAGTGATTAATTTACAAATCTCTGTATTTATTAAAAATAATAATGTTATCAGAAAATACTGGCAGACAATGTGCATTCTTCTGCACAAATGCTGTGCATGGCATACTTACTTTACAGCATGCCAAGGCCCTAACCACAAGGCCAAGTTCACCCTCTAGTGGTTACAGCAGAAAAAGGCGAAGGTTCTGGAGTGGCAATCACAGTTTCCTGACCTTAAAGCAGAGTTCCACTCACCTGTCAAAAAATAAACGTCAGCAGCTACCAAAACTGTAGCTGCTGACTTTTAAAAAACAGCCACTTACCTGTCCCTCGGTCCCGCAGTGTGTCCCCTGCAGCATGTTTCACGGACCATCCTGGATTCCAGGAGGCTGGCATATTCAGTGTGGGCACCTGGCTGTGATAGCTTGCGGCTTCACAGCCGGGTACCCACTGCGCGTGCACGAGTAGCGCTGCGCTTCATGAATGGTCCTGTAGTCTTCTGGGACCTGTCATGTGTACAAAAGACTACAGGAAGGGAGGGAGGACACCTTCCGTTTCAGATCGCCTAGGCAATCGGACCAGAAGTGGGAGCGGGTACCTGTCAAATTTGAGTACCCACTCCCCTCCGCCTCCCAAGGTACCAATCCTTAATGGGGAGTGGGGGAGCAGTCCTTAAAGCGAAACGTTCCCTTTTGGGTGGAACTCTACTTTAATATCATCGAGCCACTCTGGGGAGATATCAACGTGTGGTTCATGCAAGACGACTAAAGACTTTGCATGATCTGGAGGAATTTTGCCAAGATGAATGGGCAGCTATACCACCTGCAACAATTCCAGGCCTCATAGACAACTGTTACAAAAGACTGCACACTGTCATTGGTGCTAATGGGGGCAATACACAGAATTAAGATCTAAGAGTATGCAGACTTTTGATCAGGGGTCATTTCATTTGTTTACTTGTTGCCATGTTTTGTTTTATGATTGTGCCATTCTGTTATGACCTGCAGTTGAATATGAATCCCATAAGAAATAAAAGATTTGTATTTTGCCTGCTCACTCATGTTTTCTTTACAAATGGTACATAGTACTACCAATTCGCCAAAGGTGTGCAAACTTTTGAGCACAACTGTAAGTACCTAAAATAAATAAATAATTTCCCCTTGGTAGATTTTCTCTAACTTCTCAATGTGTCTCTAGGACAGGAAATTAAAGGAAATTTCCCCACTGTAACATAGAAAGCAAATGAGCGTTAACCTTTCTCCAACACCTAAAATAAATGGCTGCACATTCAAATAATCTTTTCATTTTTAAATGGATACATTTTTTGTCAAGCAGAAATGACCAAGGGACATTTAACCTTACACTCTCTGAAGTATCCTTAGCGGCAAAGCTAGCAACTCACAAAGACTCATCTGGATATCCATCTGTGTCTCTTTCTGCTTGTCATTCAGAAGTAACAAAGGCCAAGCTGCACCTGTCTGGAGGGGCCAGGTATGTGAGCATAATCTAGGTAATTGAACTGTTACTTCCTCTTCTCAATGTCAGGAACATCTAGGTCTCACCTTTCAGATAAGACAGTCAGGATTTAACACATCTGAGTCTCACCCCATGGGCACAACCAGACCTGTCCTTGCATGAAGACAATGTGTTATTAAAAAAACCTGTTCAACAAGGATGAGTTAGTCACCTCCTAAATCTCTTCTTATATTTATTAAACATTTACCCCCCAGGTTACTTAACATGTGTTTGATTTTGCAGTTGGTTCTACAATCTCTTCACTTTTTTGCTAGAAAAGCCCATCAGTGATAAACTCAACCAGAAGGTAATATTAGATGGTTGGACTAGATGCCAGCTAAAGTAATACTTTACTGCTTCAATTTTCTAGACATAAATCCTGCCTGCATGTATAAAATATATATAGATTGTACAGATTATACCATGCTTTTCCTTCTATAGACAATCTGTATCTGATCAGCACACCTCCAAGTCCATGATAAAGTCTGATCTGACCTGTTACACTTCTATGTTAGTCAAAGCCCAACCAAATCTTTAGTTTAAATCCGTTAAATACATTACTGATTCATCAAAACAAAAGGTGTTTAAGGTTTTTCAGTTTGTCTTTTTTTTTAAGCAGCCAAAGCCTCAGTAGAAAGCCTGTCATCTGCCAGCTGCTGCAGCATTGGGTCCTTGCCCTCTGTTGGGAAGCAGTGGTCTTTTTGTACAAGCCCCCTGCTGAGTCAGAGCTGTCCATCCTGAGTTTTGCTGAATCCAGAGGTATAGGTGTGACCAGGGGCGGACTGACAACTCATGGGGCCCCCAGGCAATAGGGGATCATGGGGCCCCTGTGTCCTTGCCCAAACTCAAAAAAGCCTATGAAAAAGGTACCAGGGGCATCTCATGGTGCCCCCTACTGACCCCAGGCCCTCCAAATGGTCAGTCCACCCCTGGGTGTGACTCAGCAGGGGGCATACTGGAATGGGACAGGCTCAACGTCTCAGGCTGTGGCTGCTTTCTAAAGAACATTAACTGTAAACCTTTGCACACCTTTTGTTTTGATGCACCTAGAATGTTTGTAGTCAATTTAAATGGAAGGTTCAGTAAGGCTTTAATGGCCTGTCTTGATATTTTGCACTCGCTTTCAGATTGTCTTTCTGCTCACCTCACTCTGGACCTTTGCTACTCTAATACCAACTCTAGACTGCATGCTGATTTTATCTTCCCCTGCTGATTCTTCACCTCACTGCCTGAATTTCGGCAATCATGGCTTCTGTCTCGGTTATGCATTTTTGATTAGTCTTTTATTATACTGTTTGGCCCCTGATGACCTCAGCCTGATCCTGAATAGACATCTGCTTCTGGTATCATCCATTAGACACTTGTGCCACGTCACTGCCCTTGACCTTTCTGTCACCATTTCCAGAAGTACTTTGATTGGAGGTACCTGTCAACTCCATCCAAGTACATGACAAAAGACTAACCTTTGTACTATGGACTTGGAGGTGATCTAAGTAGATATTAAGTGTATAAAATATACATAGAAACTATTACCATTTGAATATAAATGTTTTAAAATTAAACAAATATTTTGGGTAGGCATATTCATCAATAAATTTAAAAGTTAACACTCTACTGGTCTTAGCACCTGATTTTCATATACACATACTGTATATGCAAGTTTAACCTGCTCTTAAAGCTGAACTCCAGGTATGATCTGCATTGCATACTTACATTGGTCCAACATTGCCCCATATTAAGTATGTATATTTCATACATGAGGGACTGGTGAAGAAGCCAATAATGATTACCACGATCGTCCAGATCTTGTCCTGATTACATTCCCTACTGACCATGGGGGGGGGGGGGGTCCCTTGTTGGCGCTGACACCATTCAGTTTTTTTAATGAATACAAGGCAGTTTCTGACTGGATGAGGTGGAGAGGAGAAGTGACGTAATGATCTCTACCTTCTCCACAGAAGCCTGGACATCGCGGCTATCGCTGTAGTAGCTCCAAAAACTACAGTGATTGTCAACATCTACAGTGGTCCCATCAGGTTTAAAATATGTATACTTACATTGGTCCAAGCTGGACAAATTTAAGTATTAAATACAGATCATACCTGGAGTTCAGCTATAAATCTACTGCAGACTCCATGGTAACAGCCATGCTACATACAGGTATATGATTGACTTGTGAAATTTTTAGTTTCTTGTATGTAATTTCAGATCTGTAATCATCCTTTCTTACACTATATTAGCTCTGTCCACGAGTAAGTGAAGTCATCACAATCCTGCAGAAAGAGTTGGCCACATTTCAAGGTAATACCAAACGTTTTAAAGCATATTATTTCAAAAGAAACAGGTTTACTCAACAAGACCAGTGGTCTCCAAATTGCAGCCTGGGGGCCGGATGTGCCCTTTGCTTGCATTTATCTGGCCCTTGGGGCACTATTTCCCCAACTGACAGCAATGAATGGGACACCATTCCCCTCATTGATGCCATCAATGGGGTACTATTCTTCTCAGTGATATCAACAATGGGGCACTATTCCTCCCATTAAAACCAATGATGGGGTACTGATGCCGGGGCATTTTCTACTTCCACTGCCCACAGCCCGGTCCCCTAAAAGGACTGTAAACTAACCCATTGCTTAGCAAGTTTGGAGACCCCTGAACAACACAAACAGCAATGTTAAATGTTCATTCATCCATAGTACCCAGTCAGGGTTTATCTCTGATCTGTAAACTGTGATCTGGTTGGTTGTTTTGCATTTCTCTTAGAAAAGTTTTATAAATGAACACTATAAATCCTATCTCTAAGTATGCTGACCCTTACAACCTCATACCTCCCAACTTTCTAAAATGGGAAAGAGGGACACCTGTGAGCATAACGTATGTAGACACACACCACTGCCATACCCCTAATTATGTACAGTTTCAGGACTATATAGGTAAAAATAATAAATCCACAGCTAATTTTTGTATATATTGGTTTTCTAAATGAACAATACAATGATTTTGAGGTTGGATAATATGTTTAGTGTAGTTTAACTTTTATAGTTTTATATAGTTCTTTTCTTTATAGTGGTCTGTACTGCAGACGAAAAAAGGACAGTTGAGGAGGAAAGACAAATGGAGGGAATTTGTTCTAAAAGAGGGACTGTCCCTCCAAATGAGAGACAGTTGGGAGCTTTACAATCTTATTGTACAATTTCCTTTAGATCTACCAACTTCCATACATTTTGAGTCTGATTGGGTTTAAAAGGGATTATTTGGAGGCTCTCAAAATATATAAAATATTATAGCACCCAATTGTCCCTGATTTGGAGGGTCTGTCCCTTATTTGGGGGGACTGTCCCTTATTTTGAACCAAATCCCTTCATCCCTATTTTCTTCTCATTGGTCCATCTTGTTGAGCCAGTATACACCTCTATGAAGAAATGTACAATTTAGAAGTGTTATATTGCAGTAAACCACACATCCGACCACTAAATAATTGAATTGGTTACTTTGAAAAGTCAGTATAAAGAAAACGTAATGATGAACAAAACTCTTGTGGTTTAAAGTGGTTGTAAAGGCATTCTATGCATGAAGGTAAAAACCTTCAGTGTGCAGCTCCCCCCTCAGCCCCCCAATGCTTACCTGAGCGTGATCATGATCCAGTGATGTGCACAAGAGCAGTGATTCCCCTGGGTCTCCCTCTCCTCATTGGCTGAGACACGGCAGCGGTAGCCATTGGTTCCTTCTGCTGTCAATCGCAGCCAGTGAGGAGGGTGCAGGGGGCAGGGCTGAGTTGCACTCTGTAAGTCCTATGACCAAAAAAACGAACTCTCCTACGCTCTGAGACCCAGGTGGATGGCGAATAGATGGAACCAGAATTGGAAGATTCGACCACCAGTGCATATAGGGTTGTGCAGCTCCAAACAAGGCTGGTGAAGCCCGACCAGTACTGCAAAGCGAAACAAAATCAAGAAGCGCACCAACCTTGCGCATTACCTCAGTAACCAAAATTTATTGAATACAAAATGTTAATCACAAACAGCCTGCGCGAGTCCCATCATAGGGGTAGACACACAGAGTACAGCTGATGCATTTCAAAGAGCAATGAATGATGAAGAAGGGATGCCCTTCGAAACGCATCAACTGTACTCTGAGTGTCCCCTATGATGGGACTCGTGCAGGCTTCCTAACTTTCAAGTTCCTTTGAGGACTTACATGATTTACTTCGCTGTTTGTGAGTATCATTTTGTATTCAATACATTTTGGTTACTGAGGTAATGCGCAAGGTTGGTGTGCTTGGTGCGCTTCTCGTTTTTGTGTCGCTTTGCTGTATGTCTTATGGCCATACAGGGCCGGCATGGGAGTGAGCATGCATGAGTGCAGCCAGAGCAAGCATATACCATCTAAAAATAATTACCGTGAAAAAGTACTGCACTTTTTAATGTTAATGAAGTAAATTGCTTTTGGTAGATCTAAAAAAAAGATTGCGCAGAGATTAAAGTACAGATTTAACTGTAGTAGACGTAAACTTTATGTTCACTTTGCCAAAGTAATTGATCCTTGAAGTTATGCAACATCCTGTTCTAGGAGATTATTTCAGTTATCTCAGTTATCTCCTGCATTCAATGAAAGATGTATTAGGTGATGTGATGCCAAACCACAATGACTACCAGTTTTGTTTGTTTAACATCTGAATTGACAAAGGGAAGACAGAAACTTGGCCAATGCTAAGAAACTAAACGGTGTAAAGTTTTATTTTAGAGTAAATAAAGTTGAATTCACTGCTTCTCTGTTGGAACGGCTTATCTCCCCATACAAGTCAGTGGGAATGCAAAACCAGCTCTCTGATGTCAAAAGTGTAGAAATACATCTCATGCTGCAGCTCTTCGTAGCGGACCCATTTCATTTTAGAAAGCACAGCATCATCTAGTGGTAAAAACTGGGAACAGTAAAGGATCATTCTCACATGTCGCCTCCTTACCACCTGTTTTAAAAAATATGTAAGCCCAACATTTCATATTCCCAATATGTGCCTGCTGTGCCATTTACTTGTATGAGAAAGAATCTTGTTCTCTTTGTATTTCTTCCTTTGTGTGAACTTCCTGGCGTTCCTGCCAGTCCCTCTGTTTTCCTATTAAAAACTGACCACACTAGGAATGACAGCACAGCATGGTCAGTTTTCTAAGTGTAAAAAAAGGTGCAGCGCTAATTTTTACATTTGTTCTATTGAGGATACAGAGCGTGGTCCTTTAGTGCTAGCAGGTCTTTTTTTCCTTTCTCCTATTGTGCTCACTGACATGCTTATATCTTTATGGTCAGTTTTCTAGCTGTGCTGGGACCTCAATGTGCTCTCCTCCAATGATTAGACTTGTACACTTGTGCTGACACAAGCCGCCCCCCCCCCACTCCCCAAATGCACATCCATTCACTGGGAAGACCCGTGTTCTTCTGCTTCTCCTCCCTCAGCTCTCTGAGCTCCTTATGCAGTTAAGAACAGTAGAACAGAGGAAATGTGATCACTTATATAAAAGGGGAAAAGAGGTATTTATAAAGTTTTTTTTTATATCTATACACAAATGTTTTGCCTTTCATTTCTATTTCAAATTGAATGGGATGTTTTACAAGGTGAGGGCTTACATATACTTTAATCCAAAAAAAGTTGAATCTCTGTGTGGCAACTGTGTGCATTGCATGCAGTTGCAAGGTAGTTGTAGTGGGTCCTCATAAACCTAAATGGGTTATGTTTGGCGGTGGTGCCACCTGCCAAATATGACATGTGGCTTAATTTTTGCCAGAGAAGTGAACTAAAGCATCGCGGTCACAGCA